GGCGGGGCCGCTGAAGTAGGGCGGCGGGGCCCGTTGAAGTAGGGCGGCGGGGCCACGAATTGGGGCGGCGGGGCCGCGAAGTGGGGCGGCGGGGCCGCAGCAGACGGGCGGCGGGGCCGCTGAAGAAGGGCGGCGGGGCCGCGAAGTGGGGCGGCGGGGCCGCAGCAGACGGGCGGCGGGGCCGCTTAAGAAGGGCGGCGGGGCCGCGAAGTGGGGCGGCGGGGCCGCAGCAGACGGGCGGCGGGGCCGCTCAAGCAGGGCGGCGGGGCCGCGAAGTGAGGGCGGCGGGGCCGCAGGAGTAGGGCGGCGAGGCCGCAGTTAGGGCGGCGGGGTCGCGACGTAGGGCGGCGGGGCCGCGAATGCGGGTGGCGGGGCCACGCTAGTAGGTGGCGGGGCCGCACGAACGGGCGACGGGGCCGCTAAGGTAGGGAGGGCCGCTAGGGCGTAGGGGCCGCTAGGGCGGCTCGACGAGGTGAGAGCGCGACTCGGGCGGAGCGCGCTTCGGGCAGGAAAAAAAAATCGAAATTTGGTGGGCCCTAGGCACAGTTCCCACAGGGGAACCTGCTCGATACCATGAGAAAATGAGAACGAGAATGAATGAACTATGAATGAACTGAGTACAAGTACTAACCCTAATTGGGTTGTTAACCTTTGTGGGCTACCCCACTATAGCCTACACAATATGCAAAAGCTATATGTTCTGACAATAGGCGCGTGGCGACGTCACGATGACTTGCCAACAGTCCATGGCGGGGCCCCTTAGCATCGAAACGGCATACCGAATCTTCGTTGCGTCCGACTCGACGTAATTCGCGTCGAAGAAGACGTTCATCGTGAAGACCCACGATTGAACCGTCGGACCTCCACGCTAGCTCGGGTCGAAGCAGGGCGGGCGTCGCGGCTTGAGTGGCATTGGTGCCATAATGACCTGTTCGCCACTTGTCGCCGCGAACTCCACGTGCCGACGGGCTTCGCAAGGCTCCCGCGGGCTTGGTGCGACCCTGTTTCCTCCCATGCCAGGCATCGGCTGGGCGGCGCCATCGCTGGCTGCGCCTGAGCGTTGTCCCACGCTGTTGTTTTGTGTATGTGTGCCGGACGAGATGACGATCGGCTCGTCTGATTGTGCAGATGCATTTGTCGGTGCGTGTGGTGGCGTTGGAGTGTTCATCGTTGATTTCTGACGCGCGGAGTCATGTTCCGCCATGAGCGTCGCAATTTCGAGCGCCGAATCTTCAAGTTGGCGCACCAGACGGTCGAGCTGCTCCTTCGTCAATGTGGCGAGCGTGAATTCGGCCATGGCGGGGGTGTCGGGCGAGCTCAGCGAGAGCCTCGGTCGTGGCTGTGCGTGCTTACGAGAGAGCACTACGAGCGGCGGTGCTGTGTCGCTGAGAGAAGTCTACCCTCCCCCCCAAAAAATTGAGATAGTGGGGAAGCGAAGGTGTGGGTGCGGTCCGAGAGGAGATCGTTGGCTCTGAATACCAAGTGTTACGAGTGCAATTGAGTGAACGAACGAGAATTGCACTATCGAAGCAAGAGTACAATGAGCGAAGGCATGAGCGAAGAATATATACCGGTAGCGAAACTACAGTGGTAACGGTAATGGAGTGTGGTTGTTGCGCGACGGGCCTGGGGCTGAGGTTGGGAAAAAGTGTCTAAGCGGAGGCCCGGAGCGCGGGTTACCCGCCGAGCCGTGAGGTTGGGGTGCGATGTGCGAAGGTGGCGGGCGGATTGTCGATGCGAGGGTTGCGAGTGGTAACGGTGCTGACTGTGGTGCTACAGTGATATACGCGTTGAGCAGGGATGCGAAGTAAGGAAAAGGAATTTTCCTTACAATGTGTCTCAATCCCTTTGGTGACACCTAAATAAAGCATGAAATGTACGGTATTGTGTCACTAAGGAGAGTCGCACTAGTGCTACTTCTACTATATTCTACATCGGCTAGAAGCATATCCTACACAGTCGTCAATCTTCTCTGCCAAACGACATCATCTCTAACTCAGATAATACAGCAAACATACCTATTTCTGTGAAGAAATTATATATAATGCTACCGTACTAGCCACAATTCATGCCCAAGTTTTTCATTTCACAATGGAAAAAATTAGCCATACAAAAGATCATTAACCAGAGTAATTGGCAAGTCATGAATGGGAGGAATGGGGGCTCTCCGACTCAACAGCATGGCGTCCTGCTCACTAGGCGAGCGGTAGAGTCTCATCCCATGATATCTAGTGGAACCAGACTGCCGCAGCACCCCTTCCTCCTCATTATTCCAATAACCACTTTGAATATTGCGAGCAGATACTGTGGACGGCGGGTCCAGGGTTGATGGAAGTGGTGATGGGCTATGGGAGGGTTGCCGAGGTGGCTGTGAAATTGGTTGGGAGATGGTGTGGGTCATGGGGGGCTGCATCCGTGCAAAGTTGTCTGATACACAGAGGGAGGCCATTGGCAGTCACGGGGGGAAGGGAGAGACAGGGGAGTGTCAGGTGAACTAGGGACAATTTGGGGTTCGAGGAGAGTAGAGTTGGAGCGGGAGACAGCAAGTACATATGGCGAGAAAGAAGAGAATCGAGTTGCGAGTGAAACGTGGAAAGAAGCAATGTGTTGTTGTCAACCAACAGGCAGACAGTGCATGCACGAACCGTGCTGCATGGACACGTGCGATGTTTACTAAAAATAACCGCGCCAGGAAAGATTCAATTCAACAAACCTTTCTAAGAAAATTTCACAAGTGGAAGATCCAAAATCGGGATTGAGTGTGGGATTCGTCAGTGGGGTTAAGGAAGTGGGGAGTGAGGAAGTGGAGGGTGGGGAACCAATGGGTTTACCATGGATGGAGAATTTGGAAGAGGCGGGCTGCACGGAAAGGCGGTTAACGCCCGAGTAGAGCAGGAGCGCGCAGACGACGGTGACGATAAGGAACGCTGGGATGACAGACGCCCAGTGCCTGCAGTCGCGTGCAGAATAATATAAGTGCGGGTGGGAGGGGAAGGGGTATAAGGGGGAGCTAGGGATGGAGTGGGGTTGGGGGGGGGTGGGGGGAAGTGGGGAAGAAGAGGAGACGAGATGGAGAAAGAGAGGGAGGGAGAGCAAGAGATAAGGATGCAGACAGGAAGTGGGCAGAATCGGGCGAGGAGAAGTAAACAGTGAGAAAGCAGCAGGCATGATGCTAAAACAGCAGCAGCACCGACAGAGACGGAAATCGCAGGAGAAAGAGAGAAAACGAATCTGACGGAACCACAGGACTAGAGGAAACAAACGCAATCCGAACACACGAAAGACAACAAGAGTGAACCGTAGAGGATAAATAAAAGAAGTACGGTTCGACCCGAAAAGGCTTACTCTGAGGGATAGTATGACAAGCCAATAGAGAGAAGAACGCTGTTTGGAACATAGGCCCACACGAGGTAAATGCCTGCACGCATGCAGGGGTGATGGAAACAGGAAGCACTTAGAGGCTTTGCCTAAACATATGGAATAACGAACTTTATCACGATCAGATGCCCCAGCGGAACACTCAGACAAAAGTTTGCGAGAGTCAATTTAAAGACATCTGCGAAAGTCAGCCTTCACCACACGACTGCGACGAGACGGCTGCTGAGAGATAAGCGAGAGGGCTGGTTTGAGAAGTAAATATAAGTCAGCTCATGAGGCGGCTCAGAGAAAGAAAATGACGGAGGTAACGGGTACGACGCATGGTTCACTCACAGCAAGAAACGATGACAACGATCGACCCCACGAACGCCTGAATTTTTAGCCGACTCAAAAATCTAATTGACTCAAAAGTCGAATGAAAGTCGACTTACAGCACGACACGATGACAACGATCGACCCCACGAACGCCTGAACCTCGCCGGCTCTCGTGCTGCTCTGCATCTCCTTCGCTTCTTCAAAAGACGCCATATTCGCCGGTCGGAATCGCGTTCCTATCGCAAAACCTCACTAGACTGCAAAGTCCGATACATGCGCCTGAGGATGATGTTACTGAAAGGAGGCGAAGCTGTAGCGAATATCAGGAAACCTAAGCAAGGTGGTGGTACCAGACTGGCAGCTTCGTCACGGCCTTTGGCTACTTTTTCTTATCGACTCAGAAATTAGTTACGTCAAGGTCTGCGGTTTCTTAAACGATTTAGGCAGCTAATTCGCAAATATCTGCCTACCCTTTCCACGTGAACAGCCGCCCTACTAGTAGTCTTCTGGCAGGTGAGTTTAACATGGCTTGGGAAGCCGGCAACGAAAAGCACAGCAGGTATGAAGCTTCGGTTTCGGCTGGCGAAGCGTCGGCTGGCAAAGAAAACTTGCAGCTACCACGGGCCAGACAATCGACGCCAGTCGTGTGCGGTAAGTCGACGCGCGGAGGCTCACCGTCCAGTCCAGTACCACAACATACAGAGAAGGGGAAGCAGCAGCAGCCTTCTCTGCTTGCCAGATCAGAGCTACGCATGTTTAAAGCAAGGGTGCACTTTCCTAGGGGTGGTTTTTGGGGGCAATGTTAGTGGACACCCTTTGGCGCTTGCTGATTCGAGGGCGAATCGTTTAGGGCACGGAAAGCTGGTGCGAGGAATTGAAACAAGGCTGGCGATGCCAACCGATTTCGTATGAGGGTTGGGTTAGGGGAACACACCGCGGAAGGGCGGAAATCAAGCGAGGGTGCAAGCAAACAGAGAAGCGGAGCTAAACTGCGTCGATCAACCTGACATAAGCGAGTGATAATCCAAGGGAGAGGAGCTTCGACCTCAAGCCGTGTGCTAACGACATTACACATAGCAGTAATCTAGCAACCATTCCCGTCCGTCACTACGACATAGCCCACAAGTAGTTTCATCCCGACTAGCTCGCGGCGTCGTCGCCTGCGCGGTGCGTCGTGTTGCCGTCCTGGCTTACCCCTTTCGTTTTTCCCATTGCATTTTCACCTTGCAAACCTGTTCCGTCGCTTTCATCTAGCGACTCTCCCCTGCATTTTCGCCCGAACTCACCTGCTGTCAGCGAAGCACGCGATGGGCGTGGCGGGGCCGCGCCATCCAGTGGGCATGGACGTGTCGCTGCCGCGCGCTTCCTCCTCCGCCAACCTTGCCGCGCATATGAGCGCTTCTGCTGCGCCTTCCGCTGCAGCACTGCGCGGTGAGGGCGAGGGGCAGCGGGAAGCCGCGGGAGTAACGGTTGCGGGCGGCGAGGGGGCGAGATTCAGCCGTGACGACAGCAGGGGTGCTGGGTTGAACGATGCTAGAGGCAGCCGCCGCAGCAGTCGCCCGCGCACGTGATGGTGCCTCGCCAGCGCACCATGCATTTGCGCCGCCCATTCCGCCCACGCTCCCTTCCCTTTCTCCATCGCCGCGCCCTCCTCCCTTGGCCTCAATCGCCCTGGCAGCACCGACAGAGCCCAGGCGCAGAGGGTGTGTAGTGCGACAGCGAGCGCGCGGGCCAAGGCGTTCTCCCCCGCCAGCCAGACCACTCTCCCCCCACGCTTCCCGCACGCCTCCCGCATCGCACAGCCTCTATGCCAACCTCTGCAGGTTTGCGGACGCCCTCAGCCATGAAGTTAGGCGAGCAGCAGTCTAAAAAGAAACTTTTAGCAAAGGAATAACAGTCGATCTGTTGTAGTCGCCTCTATGCCAACTTCCGCAGGTTTGCGGACGCCCTCCCCCGATGCGCGCGCGCCTGCAGCAGCGGAGGCAAAATCTCTCATGGGAGAGAGCGGGGCAGTGGGGCAAAAGGGGAGGAAGAGGGGAGCGGAGTGGAGGAGGGGGGAGACGTGCCAGGGGGCGCCACATCGCCGCCTCGCCTACTCAGCAAGTAACCACCGCCCCATCGCCGCCACATCGCTGCATCTCCCCGCTGTCCTTCTCTCTCCCCCCTGTCCTTCTCTCTCCCCCCTGTCCTTCTCTCTCCCCCCTGTCCTTCTCTCTCCCCCCTGTCCTTCTCTCTCCCCCCTGTCCTTCTCTCTCCCCGCTGTCCTTCTCTCTCCCCCCTATCCTTCTCTCTCCCCGCTGTCCTTCTCTCTCCCCCCTATCCTTCTCTCTCCCCACTGTCCCCCTCTCTCCCCCCTATCCTTCTCTCTACCCCCTGTCCTCCTCTCTCCCCACTGTCCTCCTCTCATTCCGTCTTTCGCTCTCGCTTCCTTCCCCCGTCGCCCATGTGCATTCCCCTCCCCTCCCTGCAGTCGTCGCCTTCGTCTCCCGCCTCCCCGCCTTTTCATTCCCTCACCCTATGCTTCAGTCACAACCACATCCTCCCAAATGAGAAGAACTTTTCATTCCTTCTGCCTTCCTCTCTGCCATCCTTCTTATCCTACCAACCTCCCAGCCTATAGGTTCCCTCCCTTTTCAGTCGACTCAAAAGCCTATAGGTTCCCTTTTCAGTCGACTCAAAAGCCTATAGGTTCCCTTTTCACTCTCTCGTTCCTTCCTTACACCTTCCCACCACTATGCCCCATACGGCGGCTTCCTTTTTTAGGGCCTCTCTTTTTCCCTACACTCAACCTCCCTGCTCACTCGCTTGAACCCCTGTTGAAACGCATATTTACCCCCTGCTTACTGTCGTTCCCCCCTCACCAACCCCCGTATCCCCCTCTGCAAGGTCGATGTTGTAGCCTCACCACGGCTGATTCACAGCTGCCAGAGGCCGTTGCTGGGACATGCGCGTGGTGAGGGAGGGAGGTGAGGGAGCGCATTGGGGATCTTTGTGAGTCCACTGATCCATAAAGTTGCTCTTCCTTCCTCCCCCCACCTCCTCCTCCTCCCCTTCACAGCGCATGAGCGGTCAGTGAGAGAGTTAGTGGGGAGCTTTTTGAATCGACTCATATAGTTCCTCCCCCCTCCCTCCCCTTCCCCCATCCCTTCCGCTGCCCCCTCTTCCTCACCCCCCAGCGCACGAGACAGAGGTGACGGAGCGGAGCGGGGCGCTGGACGAATGCGCAGCTGGCGGTGAAAAAGGTAGGCCTGGATCAGATATGAGGTGGCGGGTGCGGAGGAGAAGGGAAGGGGAGGGGGAGGTGAGGCACCTCTGCGAAGGGGGAACAGCTGATGGTGAAGAAGTTTAGGCGGAGGGGTTGGGGGGGGAGAGGGGGCGCGGGAGGGAGGGTTGGAATGCAAGTGAGAGCACACAGGTTTCAATTCCACTTGCTTGCTCCGCATCTCCACCATTGCTGCCTCCACTGTCGTATCTCCCACCGCTCAACCCATCTTCACCCACTCAACTCAGCCCCACTCCACTCCACCCACACCCTCTTCTCACCCCTCACCCCCCCTCCCCTTGCCCAGCCTGTCCTCGTTCATCCGCCCCATGCCTGTCCTCCACACCACCATGGCCCACATGCTCTCCCTGCTGCGTCCCAACTTCATCCGACCTTTGTCCGAGCTGCATTGCACTTTGAGGCACCTTCTATCCCCACTTTCTCCGTCCTTCACCTCTCCTCCCCCGTTCCCCTCCTTCCTTGCCCCCACAATGGACCCATCGTTCATCTGTCCATGGCGCACATGCTTGCGCTGCTGCATGTCCCCTTCCCCCCCTCCTCGCCCTCCGCGGCCAAGGGGAACGCGGAGGAGGGGGAGGTGGAGGGGGAAGGCGTAAGGAAGTAAGGAGGGTGGCCAGGCGGGCCGGGCAGCGAGGGGAGGCCGGGGATGCGGCTGCTGCTGCTGCACTCGTTCCTGTGGGGTCGCATGAGGGCAGTGCGCGCTGACATGCGCATGCAACATCTCTTAGGGCGCGAGGTGATCAACATGCACGAGTAGATGGTGAGATAGGGCTGCTGTCTGTGCTCACTCGGGGTAACCTTGCTGGTCTGTCCCCATAGTGGTTGTGCACTGTCCATGCGAGTACTGCGGGCCCAGGTTTTGTCTTTTGCTAATCATTGCCTTCTCTCTGCGTCTCTCCCCCCATCAGGACCCTTTCAACAACTCCTCCCAGCACCACAAGTCAAATCCAACCTGTATTATGGTAGCACGGCCTTTCCTGCCCTAGTCCCAGCAGTCACAGAGTCAAGAACCCCCGCCTCAGTTCTATGTGCCGTATTCCTAATGTTGTCAGTGCAAAGATCCCCAGAATATGCCTCCTTGTCGCTGACCAGTAGCCTGTACACCCGAATGTGTACAAATGTGGAGGGGTATGTCAACACTTTGGATGGTGCACTTTACTAACCCTTTCTGACGTGAGTAGTTACTCATAAATGGCAAACCGTACCACCACATCGAGTGTGTATGGTTGGCAGCATTGTCAGAGAGAATACTAACACTACGTGAGAAAAGTGGCTGCTACCGTTATGGCAACACGTGCGCACTGCGCAGCCCAAGCCTATCAGTGTCACCAAATGTTGTCGTAAGACTGATCTTATCTTCATACAGCACTAATTGCTCTTCTCAAGCGGCGGACTGAAAGCGGTGGGGACGCGAGCGCATGTCGTGACTCGCAAGGCTAAGGTGAGGCTGAGGCCAAGGCGGGTTGAGCAAAGGACCTAAACCCTGGAGGACAAAGAAAGGCACGGGGAAGAGGGTGAAGGGATGACATAGTGAGATATGGGAAAATGGACGGTACGACAGAGTGAGGACAGCGTCATCAAAGGATTGATGGAGCACGGTGTGTGAGTGAGCGAAGGAAAGATGGAGCACGTAAGGGGAGAGAGGGCATTGAAGGGATAGGGAGCTGGGAGGCGAGAGAGAAAAGGGAGATGAGGGAGGTAAGAGGGAGAGGAGAGGTCAAGTTGAGATTTGAGAGGGGAGGAGAGAGAGCAGGGAGTTGAGAAAGGAAAGGCGGAGGAGAGAGGGCAGGTAGGGGAGAGAGGGAAGCAGGGAGGAGAAGGAGGGGAAGCAGGGAGGAGAAGGAGAGGAAGCTGGGAGGAGGAGGGGAAGTAGGGAGAAGGAGGGGAAGCAGGGAGGAGGAGGGGAAGTAGGGAGGAGGAAAAGGGGGAAGAAGGGTGTAGGGCGGAGAGGGTGGAAAGGCGGAAGAAGTGGGGTAAGGCAGAGAGGGGATAGGGGGAAGAAGGATGTTTAGGACAGAGAGGGGATCGACGTGTGTGGGCAGTGGGGGAAGAGGGAGAAGAAGGGTGAAAGGCAGAGAGGGAAAGGGGGGGGGATGGATGTAAGGTAGAGAGGGGAAAGGTGTTACAATGGGAGTATGGCAGATTGGCGAAAGGCGGACAAAATGTATAAGGCAGAAAGGGGTAAGGGTGAAGAAGAGAGTAAGGCAGAGAGGGGAGAGGGGGAAGAAGGGCGTTAGGCAGAGAGGTAAAGGGGGTAAGTAGGGGGAAGCAGGGGCGTAAGGCAGAGTGGCGTAAGGGACAGAATGGGGTATAGCCGAGGAGCGTTATGGCAGAGAAAGGGGTATAGGCGAAAAGGGTAAGGGAGGGAAAGGGGTATAGCCGTGGGATATGATGGAGAGAAAGGGGGCCGAGGGGAGCATGGGTGAGATTGGGGTATAGCCGAGGGCGGAAAGGGAGAGAAAGGGGTATAAACGTGGGGAGTAACGGAGAGTACGGGGTATATCCGAGGGGAGTGGTGAGTTTAAGGGGTATAGCAGAGGGGAGCAAGGGAGAGACGGGGGTGTAGCAGAGTGGAGCATGGGAGAGAAAGGGGTACGAGAGAGGGGAGTAAGGGAGAGAGAGGGTGACGACCGAGGGGAGTATGGCAGGGAAAACGGCATCCCCGCGCGGCAGGGGAGCGTGGGAGATCAAGGGGTATAGGCGAGGGGAGTAAGTGTGGGCGTGGGGTAACGCCACGGGTTCTGGGAATAGTTGGAGAATAAAAAAGAGTGAGGGTACCGCGGTGGGCCCTGACGGTTTGAAAGGAGCAATTCAGCGGGGAGTCAGGAAGATCCACCGTGGTTTCCGTGGGGAGTTGGGGAGAGAAAGTGGTATAAGTGTGGGGTGTAGGGTTGTCTGCGGGTCCCTCTTGCCGGTACATCGCGTCAGGTCTGTGAATGAGCGTAAGAGCGACGATAAGAGGAAATCTTCTCACCGTATGACTAGGCTTTGTTGCCTCCGCGCTCGCGCAATCCTGTCGCGATTTGAGCTGCTGTCAAGGTGCTATGCGCGGCCGGCAGCAGCGTTGTGAGAGCGCCCACCGCGCGATGTGCGGCGGCGCTCGCGACGACGTGCGGGCGCGGGAGCTGACGATTAGAGGGCGCGCTCGCCGTGACGTTCGCGCCTGGGTGTGGCGACTCCGATGCCAGAAAGACTATCGTGCGCTAATCGAGTGGTTACGCAACAGGGGAGGGGGATGCGGTGCAACAAGGCTGGCGCTTTGACGGCGGGGAGGAAATCTGGCGACGGTGACGGGAGAGGCGAGGCAGGGCGACATCACGGTCGCGTCGGTTTTCTCTTCAATTCATGGCGGTCGAGCCTGACGGTTCTAGTGAAGTTTATGGCACACGATTCTACGCGAGATTTGAGTGCGCTGTTGGCCTTCCGCCTGATTGCTCAAGGCTAAATCTGAGTAGCGGCGAAATGCACACTCTGCTCAGACGCGTCCTTGTGCGTTTTGCGATAGGGCTAACGTGCGCGATGAGAGCGACGAGAGATGTACGTGCTAATCGTGCATACGGGAGGGTTGAGATGCTCTGGCGATCTAGTTTATCTCCCGGAAAATCATGCTTTCTCAGGGCGGTGCGCTTTTGGTGGTGGTTCCTGTGCTATTCGTTGCTTGGAAGCAAGTGTAGGTTGGTTGTGATTCATGTGTTTTTGGTTCACAAACTGCCTGTCGGCCCCAACTCAAGTTCCCAACTCTCTTTCCCCTTTCGCTACTGACGTGGGAATGTTCACCCGCGCAACTCCGCCAACACTGGCTGCTTGTTCGCGTCTCAATCCAACCCCAAACCGGGTAACCACGTGGAGGCAAGTGATAAACCTTTGCCTCCACCCCCCCCAAAGTGCACCCTTGCTTTAAGGTTTTTTTGCTCGAAGCCTTTATGCAGCTGTTTGTGTACACACACCGTTTAGAAGCGCAAGAAAACTGACTGAACCGTATTGAAGTGACCTTGTGTGCACCATGGTCTGACGGGGAAATCGAGTGGAGAGAGATCAGGTGGAGGGAGGTGCGAATGAGAGACGGGCGTATTTTCACTGGCATTAATCGGCTTGATTTTCAAAAAAGTTGGAAAAAAGGTGGTGTAGCACTGGGCGAAGAGGTGCACGGTCCTGACTTGCTGGGTCACATGTCACGTAAACTGAGATTTCAATGAGAACACGCGAAGCTGTTATTATGTTGTTCGAAAATCTACCTGGGATCCAGAGGTGACCGTTTGCCCACGATCACGAGGCGAGGGAATGATGGACACACCCACCATACAAGCAGGCAGTCGCATCAGATTCTCAAGTAAAAGCTGAGAATCGAAGCCATGAGGTTATGGTAACGACGCCGTGTATGGCGCCTAACAGTGGCAATTAAATTACCTGTTCACGGTACTACCGAGAGCCGCATTAATTCCCTTCATGGGGTCCCATAATGACGACAATGAGCCGCGTGTCGCGTCGTCGCGTCGCAGCTTCGATTTCGCGGTTCGTCCGCTGCTGCGTCAAGTTCCGGAGCGCTTGGAACGTCCTTTGCCAGAACGGACCTTTCCCGAACGCCTTCTGGTATCGTGTTTTCCCTTCTTCCGCCCAGTAATCCACACAGCCGATCCCGTACCCTCTCTAGAAGCCGCTGATGACGTCAGCGTCCGTCTCGCTGACGCGAACCACGCGCTTCACGATAACGAAAACGATGAGGACGGTAATAACGGGGACGCCAGGGGTGGATCTTATGCGCGTTCTCTGCTGCCACGTGTCATCGGATCCCTATGCCGCTGCTTGCCTTGGCATTGGACGGGGAATGAAAATCATGGCGTGGCGAGGCGATTAGGGGAAGCCGCTACTCTTGGGTCGAATCAAATAGCGAGGCGATTAGGGAAAGCTTCGGACAAGCAAGCTGGCGGAGACGAGGACGGGGAGACTGCGACGGGGGAAACGGAGGAGGAGGTCAGGAGGGAAGGACAGAATGAGGCGAAAGGGAAGGGAGTGAAGGAGGTCAAGAGGGAAGGGGAGAAGGAGGTTAGGGAGGAGGGAGAGGAGGAGGAGCCTCCGGTGTATCTGAGATTCGAAAACCAGGTCAGTTTTCGCGTCCGATTACTGATTTTTTTTAGTCCGGCCTTTTACGCTGATGAATCAATTGCTGCTTCCCTGATAATTCTGGTCCCCATTACTTCGGAAGTCAGAAGCGCGGGCTGCCTGGGACCATGAGACCAATCCCACCACATCGCATCCAACCCCATCCCATCCCACAAGGGAATGCAGCAGTGGACGTGCTGTTGTCCCCCTCCTGCCTGTCTGCCTGCTCCGACCCTCCTCTCCTATTATCCCTTCACCGTTTCCAACCTCACCACATCCCACTAACCCCATTTCACAAAGGCATGCAGCTGTGGATGTTGCACTCAGGCGAGGAGGACTGCTAGTTCACCCTCCCGCCTGCCTTCTAAAACCCTCTTCTCTTCTTCTTGCCTCACCCTTCCCACCCCGACAACATCCCGCCTAACCCTGACCCACACAGACGGAAGCAACTGTGAACGTGCTGTGGCTGTCACACACAGGCGAGGAGCGCTGCTACTTCACCCTCTTTGCTGCTGCTCCCTTCACCATTTCCAACCGCGCCAATTTCTTTCAAAACCATCCCACACAGACGCAAGCTGCAGTGGACGTGCTGTGGCTGTCGCACACAGGCGAGGAGCACTGCTACTTCACCCTTCAGCCTGCGTGCTGCAACACTCAGGCGACCTTTGAGGGGAACGTGTGGCTCGTGCGTGATGCTGCCACTCAGAAGCTGTTGCACCACAGAGTGAAGGTGGGTGTAGCATCCAGTTACTCTGTAACGCAGGGGGTCCTGGTAACATAATACTGGATATCCGTAGCACAGGTTGACAGCGTGTGTAGTATTCAGTGATTGAAACTGCCGGCGTCCCATACAAATTTTGACATATTCAAACTTCCTCTCGCAGTCCCCCATTCAGGTCTTCCGTTCAAAGTTTTTCAACCAGAGCTGTGACACCAGCCTGCTTGTTGCTCCAATGCGCATTCCCCATTCAGGTTGCCCTTCGTTCCTCGGTCGGCCGTCGACAGAGGTACCTCATCCGCCCACGCCCATCCCAGCAGCACATACTGGTTGGTACTGCTAACGCTGCAGTTGCTGCTGCTAGTGGTACTGCAACTGCTGATGGTGGTACCACAACTGCCGGTGCTGCTTCCATCAGTGCGGGCAGCAGCAGCAAGCGAGTGGTAATGGAGGAGGAGGCAGAGGGGGACGTGCGCGTGCCGTCATGTTACAGGCAGGTGGTGGGCACGGCAGTGGGCGTGCCGGTGGTGGCGCATGGGCGTGTGTGCATGCCGGCACTCTGTGCTGCTGCTGACATCGTCGAGCATATGCTGCAGGTAAGGCACCGCAAAGAGCATGGGCTTGTGTGCTTGGGCATGTGGGCATGGGCATGTGCGCATGGGCATGTGCGCATGGGCATGTGTGCATGGGCATGTGTGCATGGGCATGTGTGCATGGGCATGTGTGCATGGGCTTGTGTGCATGGGCATGTGTGCATGGGCATGTGTGCATGGGCATGTGTGCATGGGCATGTGTGCATGGGCTTGTGTGCATGGGCATGTGTGCATGGGCATGTGTGCATGGGCATGTGTGCATGGGCATGTGTGCATGGGCATGTGTGCATGCAGGCGCTGTGCGCTGCTGCTGACATTGTCGAACATATGCTGGAGGTAACTGCGCTAAGAGGGTGATGCGTGATTGTGCATGCTGACTAATCGCCTGTGTGGCATGATAGCTCATGGTTGCGTGACAGGTAAAGCCGAGGCGTTCGGCATTGCCGAGGTGATACAGAGCAATGTCCATCAGCTCAGCCGAGGTGATACAGAGCAAAGTCAGTGCCTTCTCCACAACTACCTTCCCCCCCCCCCCGCCCTGCCCATCAGCTCAGCCCTGCCTCGCCTGCCATATTAACCCAGTTAGAAGACAACTGCCCATGTGATCGGCAGAGCCGAGGTGATATCAGGGAAAAGTTTGTGAAAGTAGCAAATTGAACAAGTAACTTCATTGGAGGAGAAACCTAGCATACATGGTTGGAATAGAAGCTTGGAAGATAAAGGTGAAGGTGACCATAGGTTGGGTTGACCTCACTTGGGGGAATGAGGCAACCATAGGTCAAGTGGGTTGGGTTGCCCACACTTTGTAGAAGTGAGGCAACCCTAGGCCCACTTGACTTGAGACGACCTCACTTGTGGGAAGTGAGGCACCCATAAGCCTAGTGGGTTGCATTTGGGGGCTCCACCACAATTGGGTGGATTGGCACCTCAAAGTGCAAGACTACACCCAAAGTTAGGTGTAGTCCCAACCCAACTGTACACCACAATTGGTGTACAGTCACATGTGTTGGCATGCTACACAACATATATTTTAACACAACCCCTTAGCATGCTAACACAAGAAGAGAACAACCCCTGAATCAAGGGGCGCCCGGGCGAGCGAGGCCAATGAGGCGGAGGAAAGCAGAGTGAGCAGGGCGAAGGAGGGCCTTAGTGAAGATGTCGGCTAAGTTGGCCTCGGTCGCAATCTTGCGAACGGCAATAAGGCCCTTCTGGACGAACTCGCGAATGAAAAAGTAGAGGAGCTCGATGTGTTTGGAGCGGGCGTGATAGACGGGGTCCTGAGTGAGATGGATGGTGCTGGCATTGTCGCACCAAAGGGTGGGGCATGTCTGGGGGGCGCCAAGCTCCGCAAGAAGGAAGCAGAGCCAGCGGGACTCCTGGGCGGCCATGGTGCCAACGTAGAGCTCGGCCTCGCAGGTGGAGAGAGAGATGGCGGAGGAGCGGGTGGAGCGCCAGCTGATGAGGCCGCTGCCAAGGGTGAAGCCGTAGCCCTGAGAGGAGCGGCGGTCCGGCTGCGTGTCAACCCAAGAGGAGTCACTGAAGCCCGAGAGAAGAGGAGGGGAAGGGCAACCAAGGGTGAGGGCAAGGTCCTTGGTCCCGTGAAGGTAGCGAAGGACCCGCTTGGCAGCTTTCCGGTGCTCCTCAGTGTGACGACCGGTGCCAACAAAGCGGGCGAGCACGCTGATGGGGTAGGCGAGGTCGGGGTGGGTGCACATCATCGCGTACATCAGGGACCCAACGAGCTCGGCATAGGGGTGGGGGGAAGAGGTGGGGGAGGAGGGTGGTGCGAGTTGGTGGCCGAAAGGGAGGGGGGTGGAGACTAAGTTGGAATATATGCTTAACACCTTAAGCGTACAGCGTATGTACGCTAGCGTACATACGCTATCCGCTATACGCTAGCAAATACGCTATACGCTCTTAGTTTTTTTTTAGGGCTGCCCGAAAAAAGAATCGCAAAAAAGATGCGGATTTCCTAGGTGAGCATCTCGCCGTAGTCGAAATTCAAGTCCGCAGTCTAGGCAAACGGGGATCTGACTTCGAAGTCGTCAGGCAAATGTTGGATTTCAGATCCCATCTAGGCATTGAAATCCATCCCTTCTACCGCATTGAACCCCACTCTATCTACAAACTCCAACCTGTCAAAATTTCTCAAACAACAAATCTCACGGTACTTACCAGCCAGCCCTGTTGGCTAACCCTAACTCGTCATTTCGTTCCCGCTTTCACCAGAGTTCACGCTTCTTCGCTTTCTTGCTATTATGGTTACTCCACCTCCAATTGCACTCGTCATTCGGATTCAGGATTATGCAAGGGCAAGCCTTAGTGAGAATAGGGAGTACTTTTATTTCACCCTGCCCGGAACGTTTTTTCTCTGCCCGAAAAAGCGTTTCTCCAAACCGAACCCCTAAGCGGATAGCGTGTATACGCTAGCGTATATACGATACGCGAATATACGCTGTACGCGTATATTCCAACTTAGGGTGGAGATAGGCTTGGCCTGCGCCATGTCGAACTTCTTCAAGACCTGGCCGATGTAGTGGGACTGTGAGAGGGTGATGGTGTGAGCAGGGCGGTTGCGCGTGATAGCCATG